GCTTTCTTAATTTCCTTTTGCAATTCCTTTTGCACATAAATAGAAACAGCTGATTTTTATAAGTTGTTCTGGTATCTTGCAGCTTTGTTGAATTTTTTGTAACTAGTAGTTTTCTTGTGGATGTGTTGGAATTCCATATCTGTGAAACAGGATATTTACTGTTCTTCCTTTCCAGCTTTGATTCTTTTTATTCTATTCCTTGTCTAATTGCTCTGGCGAGCAATTCCAGCACAATGCTAAATCTGGTCATCATCTCTAAGTTTAACTTTTTGTGTTGTGTGCATGTTTGTTGGTTGGCTTTTTAGCTTTTCAGCTCCAGAATTTTGTTAGGTTCCTCTAAAGTTTTCCATGTATATTATTATTTCATTCATATATCGTGTTCCCTGTCAATGTTCTCCTTTAGCATTCTGAGCATATTTATGACAGTGTTTCTCATAGTATTTGTCTAGTATGCCTTCCTCCTTTCCATACTGAAAGACTACTTCCTGGGTTGGAGCAGGCACAAAGAGGAAAAGGAGCAGCAAATTTCTCGGCATAGGTGCTGAGTATAGTCCTAATACTTGCCTTCCTTGGATGTGAATATATGTAACTGATTTTCCTGCTAGTGCTTTTGTAGATTCTTTTGACATCTCACCCTCCCTCTCTCTGTTATCAATATGACTATCTTGTGTTTGTTTAGCTCAGGGATTCAACACTTTTGAGCATTCCATATTTTTTGGCTTGGAATGAAATCATCTGGACAATAGTAAGACCTTCCCAAGAGAGTATGGCCTAATTGAACACCATTCTATGGCAAGTAGTGGTCTATTTTGTTTGTAAACTATTTCACATTTGGCATTTTAAAAATGACAAAACTTATTATGCCAACTATTAGATCAATTTCTGATAAAATCTGGAAAATCTTTCTCTTCTCAAACATACTTTAATTGTTCTTGTGTTTAATAGACATCATATCTTTTAGAAAGATGTGGCCTCCTCCCTAAACATACAGTTTTTGAAGTGTAATCATTTCCAATTCAGTCCGATGTTGTCAAGTTATTAGAATGTTCAGAAAATTGGCCATTTTGCTGCCAGGGATGCCTCAATTTGACTGAGGAATCGTGTGAGGGGAATTTTTGACACAATGATTCTGCAGCTTCATTGTAAACCTACTTGCCCCGACTGCTGGGAATCGTAGGCACAAAAAGAGAAGGGCTGAGGATTGAAATGAGGGGCTTGAGACAACTTGACACTAGTGGTTGCTTCTTTATTTTTTTCTTTACCTTCTCTTACTTTTCCCTGTCTTTCTTTTCCCTGTCTTTCTACCTTCCCTGACCTTCTCTCTGCTCCTCGCTCAGTAACCCCCCAACTTCTCGTGGTTCTCCTCTTATATCCTGGTAGCTCCTCCCATCATACCTCCCAGTCTCATTTGATTAACAGGAAAAACCTGTGGTTTCTCAGAAGGCAAAATGGTAAAGCAAAACTTAATTGATGGCACGTGTTGTGCAACAGTGCATCCGGACATCTCCCCCTTTTTTCTTTTAAATGAGACACCTGGCCTGTCTTAGGATGGCATGTTCCGTGACCAGCCTTACCCGTCATTGCTAATCTGGCGATGTTGGTCCAGACCGCTGTCTTAGGTTGGCCTGGACGGGCTACGCTCTTACCCGACTTTGGCTCTCGTGTTCTCTAGGGCTAAGTTGACCCATCCAGATGCCACTGGGGAGTCCTGGTCAAGTACTATGACGCCAAGTACTTGCCTGACCGCAATACCAGTTCTTTGTTTCGCTTCCGTAGCCGACGGAGAAACCATATGCCGAATGCACAAACAGCAACTCTGGGAGGAGTCCTCTAAAACAGGCAATGAGACCCTCACTCGTAACAGGGGTAACCTGAGTGTTGTTAATGGTTATGAGCCGTCTCGCCAATTGAGCAGTCAGGTTCAGGAACTGGTGGTTCCATGGTCCTCTGATTACACTATTTAACCTATATACTTCCATAGACATATTTTTCACCATAACAGGAATTACACAAATAAAACAAATGGTACAGAAGGTTATAAGGCATGTGAGCAGTTAACAAAAGTCTGTCTCATATTAGAGCTATCTGCTGATTAAACATCAAAAGTCCATTTCGTAAATGTTCATTCATATCTTGCTATGTTGATAACACAAAAGCAACATTAGCAGCTAAATTGTTTATAGTGTCAGCATTTGCAGCAGCTTGAGTGACAGAGATGGCGGCAGCAGCCGCAGCCATGGACACCGCTATTGAAACAGCAACAACAGCTGCAGTGATGCCAAAATCACGTCTCCTCCTAGGTAGAACAGGAAAAGGAAAGATGTGCAGAAACATCCACGGGCATGATTAAAGTAGAAAGCAGACAAATGATCACCACCCTTTCCGCACTCTGGGTCCAGCAGGCAGAGAGGGCACAGGGCTCCCTGGACAGTTCAACACAGTTGCATTTCCTGCATTATTGGAGAGGACAAAAAAGAAGGAGGACACAGACAAACAACAGTAGACAAACTCTCTGATCTATTATTCTGGATACTAACGGATTGTTCAATGGTAGAACTAATGTTTGCAGATTAAATGCCTTAAATAATTTCACCTCACCCTGGCCCAACAGGGCACTATCCAATGGCTTGGAAGCCAGACCAGTAGTAAGATTAGTGGCAAATACTTGCGGAAAAGTGGAATCATGATGATTAATGAGGAGCAAAAAAGGCATCTGATGCACAATCGCCCATCGTACTGACAACTGGGATGCTCGTGTCATCAAGGTTAGCAGGTTCAGGTATATTGACAAACCGAACCAATAGAGCAGGAACCGATTGGGGTGCTTCCACATCTCGTGGGAAAAGACAAATGCTGCCAGGCAGCTGTATTAGTACTGCTGCGGGTGGTTGCCACTCATTATTGACCGGGTCCTTCCATCTGGCTTGCAGCACCATGACCTGCCGAGGATCTGGCGACCAGTGCCGATCAGCAGCTGACCGCCCCTGGGTATCTAGGGTCAAACAATTAAGGGTAAAGAGAGATGTAGTCAAACCATCCCTGGGGGAGTGTTCTCCACCTGTTTGTTTTAAAAGCATAGTTTTCAGAGAACCATGGGCACGTTCAACTATACCCTGCCCCTGCGGGTTGTATGGAATTCCCGTTTTGTGCACAATGCGATGGACCACACAAAAGGAGGCAAAAGCCTTACTGGTATAACCAGGACCATTATCTGTCTTAATGACACATGGGTGGCCCATTACCGCAAACATTTGTAGCAAATGTGAGCGGACATCAGAAGTCTTTTCACTGCAATGTGGGGAGGCGAAAAGAAAACCAGAGAATGTGTCAATGGAGACATGGACCAGGCTCTGTCCTCCAAAAGAGGGAACATGAGTCACATCGGTTTGCCAAATATGGTTAGGGAGGATGCCCCGGGGTTAACTGCTGGGGGCGGCATAGCAGCTAGAGCAAAAGGTGCACACTTGTGAGAGGCACAAACAATGTCACGAGCTTGATGACGAGTCAACCCGTAATGACCCTTAAGTGGCATTGGTGTGCAAGACTGCATGCTCTTCCATAGCACTCTGAAGTGCTGGACAAATTAGATGTCCCCTAGTAAGAGAATCAGCCACGTCATTGCCAGCCGCTAAAGGTCCTGGCAATGGGAGATGACCTCAGATATGACCCACAAAAGGTGATGAATTCTCTTACAAATCAGTGTTTGCAACTGATGAAGGAGGTGCAATGGAGCTATGAACAGAAATATGAGCAACAGTTTCCAAAACATTTAAAGCATGTACCAGATATTTGCTGTCAGAATACAAATTGATAGGTTCTCGTGAGTAGGTCTCGAGAGCCGAGAGGACGGCGGTCGCCTCAATGACTTGGGCTGTACCACTGGGCA